TTTTCCACTTGTTATTTTATTAAACATTTGAAATCCTTTGCCAAGTCATAAGTCACTATTAAACCTGTGTTATTTAGTAGCACTTTACTGTTTTAATTTTTAAAAGCTATTTTATTTTCTCTTAGAAGATGAGGTCTGTTGTTCTCCAAGATGTGGGTCTGTTGCTCAAGCTGGTCTCAAACTCTTGACTTGAGTGATCCTTTCATTTCAGCCTTCTAAGTAGCTGGTACTGCAGGAGGCACCATTGTGCCTTCCTGTGCTATAGCTTTCTTAAATTGCTTGTTGCATACTGGAGTTTTCTTTCTTCAAAAGATGTTCTGATCAAGACAAATGCTTTAGTAAACCCTTTCTTCGTAGGTGGCACTCAGCATGTGAGTGTTTGCAGAGCTGTCATCACCCAGGTGATCATACTCAACCTGCACCTCAATATCATCCTCATCATACGGCTCCCGAGCTCCACCAGTGCAGCTCATAGCACACTGAACTACTGCATCTACTTTGGGCTGTGCATACTCCTGCAGAGCTGTTCAGGCTTCTTCTGGATTCCTCCACAGGTGGTTTCTGATTCCTCCTTTCCCTTCACTTTGGAAGTCACAGAGGTGTTACAATGTGTGACAGAGTGTTGGGGAGGCTTACAGCTTATCACCTTGCCAACCTCTTGGTAAAGCTTGCCTTTGTGATGAATCAGACAGCTGTGCTCGCTGATTTCGTGAAAACAGCCTATGGCATGCACATTATCATCTTCAGCATCCCCTTCAACTTCTAAATCCTTGGGACATAAGGTGCCAAACCTAGCCTCTCTCTTCAACATATAGATCACCTTTTATTTTAGAGAGATGGCAAAGGCTTCAGGTTCCCTGTCTACTTTAGGCTCCAAATCAGAACTAGAAAGCACATGGAGTGTTGCTTCTCAGTCACCCTGGAATCAAACTGAGTGCTTTATCATCTTTACTGCCCTGAGCCAGCTGATTGGGAAAGAAGAAATGGCTTCCTGGGAAGCCTGGCTCACTGAGCTTCTGAGCTAGGGACAGCAACTTTGGGTCTTCCCTGGCTATGCTAGATGACAGCTGCCTCAGTGGCAGAAACTGGCTCACATCAGTCAACTTGCACACTTCCAGCCTCACATTATTCTGGCTTTTAACCACCTGAATCCCAGGTATCACCTTCTGTGGAGGTGGCAGGAAATGGGGAACAGACCCATAGCCATTCCTTTCTTACTTCATGGTATCTTTGGCTCCTAGATTCTCATTATACTGCTCCCTCAGAAGCCTACTCTAGGCTTGTCTATGTCATAGCCACCCTTTAAGGGGTTATACAGCGCACCTCTGCCTTCATAGTCTAGGCCAAGGAATGCAGTGCCCCTATCCACTCTCACTTCCCCTCTTTCTGAGGCACCATTAAACAGACTGTGACTAGGAGGTCTGCATCAGCTGAGCCAAAGATGAAGCCCATTCATCTTTCCTGGGAATGTTTTCAAGTTTAATAGCAGGAGCGAGGGCAGCGGTACCACCGCATGAGGTCCAGCTGGCAGCTTGGGAGGGGAGGTCTTGAAAACACACCCCGCTCAAGAGTTTGAGTTGCTTTTACTTCCTTTCTATTTATAAAGCCATCACTAGGATGGAATTGTGCAGGTGGATGGGATTTTGGAATTGGAGGCCAGTGGCTTGGTATGATAGGCAAGGGAGGCTGCCACATTACAAATGGGGGAGGCATATTTTGTGCCCAATGACATGGAAAAGATGGACTTCTATTGCTGAAAGCCAGGATTGTACACTCCATTCTGGAACTGGGGCCTGATGGTGCTGGCCCAGTGTAAGTCAGTCTGACACTGCTGGGGAAGTATCAGTTCATCTCGGAAGATGAGCTTATTGTCCAGTCCAGCTTGTTGCTCAGGAATGAGAAGACCTGGAGCTCTTCTGCCTCCTTGGGCAATTTTAATTTTAATCTTTTTTGTTTGTTTGTTTTTTGGGGACAGGGTCTCCCTGTAGCCCTAGCTAATCTGGAACTTGCTATGGAGATCAGGCTGGCCTTGACAGAGATCTGCCTGCCTTTACATCCTGAGTGCAGGGACTCAGGCACACTCAAGGCGTGTGCCACCAAGCATGGCTTGGCACTTTAAATTTTTTAAAAAAAGCTTTAAATTTATTATTATTAT